ATTGGATCCCCAGATTTGCTTTAGATTAACATTCATTACACAAATATCTAACAAATTCAAAGATAAAATAATTGTTTCTATCATATTTTCTATCTGGATACCCAAATGTACCAACAAGACTTTTGGAAAATATAAATGCATACATAACTTTGTGTAAACTTTCAAAAATTGGTTGCTGTGTGCATTTGAAGATTATTTAAAATTTTTAATCTTTTTGGTTGTGATGTATGATCTTAATAGGTTGCAAGCAGTGTTAGAGAGAGATTTAATTATATTTAAAACAATATTTTCTATTCTAATCTTTTGTTTGGGAAATAGTTTTGATTTGGTTTAAATTTTGCCTTTTTCATTTGTCAGAAAGGAATAGTTGCATATATACTATTAATATAACATAATTCTTAACAATGCAAAATATATAGATTTATAAGACAATAATAAATATTTTTAAAGACGATAAAGTGTTGATTGAATATACTGTTATGTTCTGTCAAAAGTGTTCATACTCATTAATTAAATGTATTTACCAGTAACACCAATAGACATTTTTATGTTTTTCATTTATACACTAGACCAGTAATTCTCAACCACTGTGCTGCGAGATTTTTGAAGTGTGCTGCCACTACACATACTCATACATAAGTGACAGCAGACAAGTAGTTCAATCAGTTTTATCTTCCTAGCGCATTTGGAAATTGTAGCTGGTGTTACCAGTAACTCCCAGTAGTTACCAAGGTGTTTAGAAAATGTGACCTAAATTACCAACTGCATTTAAAAATTGCTGTTATGACGTCACTGGTTGTCCTGTGATACTTACCAATGCGCCGTCAAATTTTTAAATTATTAAAAGGGTACCATGACGAAAAAAAGGTTGAGAATCACTGCACTAGACTATTTAACATTAATAATAATAATTTTTATTATTAAATAAAAGAACGTTATATTACTAATATTAAATAAAACATTATATTATATTAAATTTAATAAAATAAGAACAATTTCAACCAGTTTCACTGACCTTCAGTTACAATAGAACAAAATAAATTTTTGTATTCATTTTCTATTTTTTCCTTATTATTAAATTTATTATTGACTACTTTGTCAAGCATGCAGTTTATAATTTTGAATTGATGAAAGAAGACTGATGTATGAATGTAAAATTCTCTTTTCTATTGGTTTTGGGAACAGATTGTTATTGTATGTCATATTCTTCATATATCTATTTTTATATTTTATTCTGTCCTATTGAATGCAATGCTTTACACCATATTGCAAGATAAAGCAAATAGATAATAATGAAAACAAGGAATGATATCATAGTACATTTTTATCTATCTTTTAAGATATAGATAGTAAATTTATTTGCAGAATTATATATACATATTTTTGTAAATAATTGTTTTTATGTAATTTTTTTATAATAAAATGACTATATTGATTTATTATTATGATTACGTTGTGATGTTGAAATATATCCTACATGGTATATATGTTATGGACAAAGTGATTAATATGGGCATTATTCATAATGACCAACAAAATCAGGCATTGTAATAAATTTCAATAATTTATCAAATTGACCGGTCATTATGAATGCGTCGAAACATATACACTGGTTCCTAGTACTATGCTGGACAAACTTGAGGTGTAACTACAAAAAATATGTTTCATTTCTATGCTTTTTTTGCATACATATTTGTGTTTAAGAATTTTCTGAACAGCATATACATCACTCTACAAAAGGCTGACATACTAAACACATGTCAAATAGTCAGATTAGTTGACATGTGTTTAGTATGGCAGCCTTTTGTAGAGTGATGTATATGCTGCTGTGAAACTAACATTTAGAGACTTTTGTGTTATATGGTTGATGCAAGTGCAAGAAAGGATTAATGGCACAATACATACCTTGTCCATTCTCCACAGATACTTTATTTTGTGGTTGAGTTCTGTGTACTTGCTGATTTTTTCAATGCATATGTTTTATTATTATTATTATTAAGTAATAATTAATAAAATGATTATTTTTAGATATCTTCTCTACCTAATAATTGAGAATGAATGAAATATTTGAAAATTGTCAAAACAGATTACAGAGTCATCCAAAGTTGATTCTTTCTCTTAAAAATATTTTCAGAAATGTAAGTATTTTTAAGTGTTTACTTAAAACTAAATAATTGGGCTATTTTTAGACTAGTAAATAATTAGTTACTAATGAATTTGACTAGAGGTTGTTTTGCTCTAATCACTTAAATTGGGTTAGGAGTTGATGTTGTTATAAAACTAAATATTATAAATGAATAGTAAAATGGAATTCAATTTCTATCTTTAGAAAAGAATAAATTTACTTTATTACACTATTTAAAGAAATAAAAATAATCATTTATGTAATTAAAGTAAATTTAAATACTAAATATAAATAAACAAAATAACTCGGCAAAAAATTCAGGTGTGTGTGATTTATTATTATACTAAATATATATATATATATGTGTGTGTAATGTTTAAATATATGTTATACATCTAGTATGAACATTCTTTGGATATCAAAACAAAATATTCCACTTAAACTCTGGTGCTTTCTAGTTCATCCTTGGATATCATTACTATTATGACATGGAGTCTAGTATCAAATATTGTAAATGATATAGATGTAAAAAAATAATTGCATATGATTGTCTTATTAAGCATAAGAAAGAAATTTTAAAGAAACAAAATATAGCAAGCCCTTACTTAATGTTGTCAATAGACTCTTGGAAACTGTGATGTTAAGTGAAAAGATGTAAAACGAAACCAATTTTACTATAGGCTGAATAATGTAAACAAGATATAATTCAATTAATATTATTTTAATTGGATTGTGTTTGCAATCTTTATCATTTACTTTCTGCCTCACAGAATCAGTTTTATTGTTTATGAAGAAAATTTGATGATTAATATCAATAATTTTGCTTCTGACTTTTAAATCTTTATGTTATCAATTAAGACAACAATTTCAATATAGCAATAAAACAAAAATTTTTTAAAATGGTCAATTTCTTTTATTTAATAATAATGAATATTAGTATTTTATCTATTTACTAGAGTGATTTGCAAATTAATTTTTTTTATTTTTATAGACTCCATTTGATGAGTTTTTGTCAGAGTTTATTTCATATTTAAAACATTCTCTTGTGATTTCACATCATTATCCTGCTGTTGAAAGAACATTAGAATTTGTTTCAAAATTTGTTACTGAATTATATAAGGAGGAGGAAGAAATTGAAAATGATGAAAATAAAAGTAATAATATAGAACATTCACAGAATCACCTAATTAATAAATTGTTTGAATATTTGATTCAGGTAAGAAATTTTTCATGTAATACAGTATATTTGTCTGTTTTAACCTTGAAAGTACATAATTTTCTAACTTGTTGGTACCCTAATATATATATATATATCTTTAATAAACTATTAATTATAAACTAAGTCTATGAATTTTATTCTTCTAAACATGCCAAACACAGAGTTAAAAGCAATAAGAATGAAATTACTTTTTGTTCATAACTTGGGCCTTTGATGAACTATCTGAATACTAAAATATAAGTTTCAAAATGTTTTTACCATCAGATATGAAGGTTTAGATATCCAGTTGTATAGAGTTTTAATATTCATTGTTCACTAGCAGAATAAAATTTCAGAATTGGAAAAAAGGATTGTCAGATAGAGGTATTTGACATCAAGAAATAAATAAATAAATTTATATTTTTGTGTAATTATGCTTTATTTTAATAATGAAATACTTATTTTAAGTAAAAATAATAAGTTTTACATGGCCAATGATTATTTAATATTAATATAATAAATATAAGTACAACTTTCTTACAAAAAAATTCTTTGTTTCAGTCATTTCTTTCGTTGTTCAGAGGCAGTAGCCTAAAAAGGACGGTCGTCTCCGTGAGTATTTGTGATTTTTATGAACTGCTGATGGTGCGAACAATGAAAGAAATGACTGAAACAAAGAATTTTTTTGTAAAAAAGTTGTACTTATATTTATTATATTAATATGAAATACTTGTTTTTTTTTCATTAAAATGAGAAATTGCTGTTATTTATATTCTTATGATTCCACTTTCTCTTATACTATTATATACGAGTATAAATTTATCAATTTTTTATTTATAACAAAAAAACTTTGTTAAATTTTTAAGCATTTATTTCAGTTTACTAACTGAAAAAAATCTAATAAAGTTAAATTTATTGAAAAAAAATCAGTCCCTTACAAATGCAGCAACTGTTTAAATGAAAATGGAAGATGAATGACAAAAACCAAATTACCAAATTATCAACCCTTATTAATGATTATGTAGACACTATATTTTTGGTTGAGAACACTAACTTATTTGTATCAATGTATTAAGCACTATGGTAAAGCAATGCATTTGTTAAACAAACTGATGCCATTGGAAATAGTGTATTCAGTAGACTCTGAAAATCAAAGACTTTGAAAGTATGTTATTTGAAACTTAAAAAAATTATACAGTTAAATAAATGTTTATGGTAATATATAATAATTATAATAATTTTATTATAACAATTATAATAATAATTTTATTACTATCTCATTATATAAAGAAAATTATAGAAAAAATCAATTAATGAAATAGTAAGAAAATTTTCAATATGCAGTAAGTCCTCCCTTAACATTGTCAATAAATTCTTGGAAACCATGGCAATAAGTGAAAATGATGTATAATGAAACAAATTTTATCATAGGCTAATTCAGTGTTTCCCAATCTTTTTACTCTTGTGGCACATTTTCCAAAGAAGAAAAATTTTGCTGCACACTTACATAATCATAGAAGAAGAAATTTCTAAATTAAATAAATTGAACAAAAAATAATAACAACAATATTTTTATTTATACTTTACATTATATCTGTGTTATACAAACAATTCTCACAAATATATATATATATATATATGTGTGTGTAATGTTTAAATATATGTTATACATCTAGTATGAACATTCTTTGGATATCAAAACAAAATATTCCACTTAAACTCTGGTGCTTTCTAGTTCATCCTTGGATATCATTACTATTATGACATGGAGTCTAGTATCAAATATTGTAAATGATATAGATGTAAAAAAATAATTGCATATGATTGTCTTATTAAGCATAAGAAAGAAATTTTAAAGAAACAAAATATAGCAAGCCCTTACTTAATGTTGTCAATAGACTCTTGGAAACTGTGATGTTAAGTGAAAAGATGTAAAACGAAACCAATTTTACTATAGGCTGAATAATGTAAACAAGATATAATTCAATTAATATTATTTTAATTGGATTGTGTTTGCAATCTTTATCATTTACTTTCTGCCTCACAGAATCAGTTTTATTGTTTATGAAGAAAATTTGATGATTAATATCAATAATTTTGCTTCTGACTTTTAAATCTTTATGTTATCAATTAAGACAACAATTTCAATATAGCAATAAAACAAAAATTTTTTAAAATGGTCAATTTCTTTTATTTAATAATAATGAATATTAGTATTTTATCTATTTACTAGAGTGATTTGCAAATTAATTTTTTTTATTTTTATAGACTCCATTTGATGAGTTTTTGTCAGAGTTTATTTCATATTTAAAACATTCTCTTGTGATTTCACATCATTATCCTGCTGTTGAAAGAACATTAGAATTTGTTTCAAAATTTGTTACTGAATTATATAAGGAGGAGGAAGAAATTGAAAATGATGAAAATAAAAGTAATAATATAGAACATTCACAGAATCACCTAATTAATAAATTGTTTGAATATTTGATTCAGGTAAGAAATTTTTCATGTAATACAGTATATTTGTCTGTTTTAACCTTGAAAGTACATAATTTTCTAACTTGTTGGTACCCAAATATATATATATATATCTTTAATAAACTATTAATTATAAACTAAGTCTATGAATTTTATTCTTCTAAACATGCCAAACACAGAGTTAAAAGCAATAAGAATGAAATTACTTTTTGTTCATAACTTGGGCCTTTGATGAACTATCTGAATACTAAAATATAAGTTTCAAAATGTTTTTACCATCAGATATGAAGGTTTAGATATCCAGTTGTATAGAGTTTTAATATTCATTGTTCACTAGCAGAATAAAATTTCAGAATTGGAAAAAAGGATTGTCAGATAGAGGTATTTGACATCAAGAAATAAATAAATAAATTTATATTTTTGTGTAATTATGCTTTATTTTAATAATGAAATACTTATTTTAAGTAAAAATAATAAGTTTTACATGGCCAATGATTATTTAATATTAATATAATAAATATAAGTACAACTTTCTTACAAAAAAATTCTTTGTTTCAGTCATTTCTTTCGTTGTTCAGAGGCAGTAGCCTAAAAAGGACGGTCGTCTCCGTGAGTATTTGTGATTTTTATGAACTGCTGATGGTGCGAACAATGAAAGAAATGACTGAAACAAAGAATTTTTTTGTAAAAAAGTTGTACTTATATTTATTATATTAATATGAAATACTTGTTTTTTTTTCATTAAAATGAGAAATTGCTGTTATTTATATTCTTATGATTCCACTTTCTCTTATACTATTATATACGAGTATAAATTTATCAATTTTTTATTTATAACAAAAAAACTTTGTTAAATTTTTAAGCATTTATTTCAGTTTACTAACTGAAAAAAATCTAATAAAGTTAAATTTATTGAAAAAAAATCAGTCCCTTACAAATGCAGCAACTGTTTAAATGAAAATGGAAGATGAATGACAAAAACCAAATTACCAAATTATCAACCCTTATTAATGATTATGTAGACACTATATTTTTGGTTGAGAACACTAACTTATTTGTATCAATGTATTAAGCACTATGGTAAAGCAATGCATTTGTTAAACAAACTGATGCCATTGGAAATAGTGTATTCAGTAGACTCTGAAAATCAAAGACTTTGAAAGTATGTTATTTGAAACTTAAAAAAATTATACAGTTAAATAAATGTTTATGGTAATATATAATAATTATAATAATTTTATTATAACAATTATAATAATAATTTTATTACTATCTCATTATATAAAGAAAATTATAGAAAAAATCAATTAATGAAATAGTAAGAAAATTTTCAATATGCAGTAAGTCCTCCCTTAACATTGTCAATAAATTCTTGGAAACCATGGCAATAAGTGAAAATGATGTATAATGAAACAAATTTTATCATAGGCTAATTCAGTGTTTCCCAATCTTTTTACTCTTGTGGCACATTTTCCAAAGAAGAAAAATTTTGCTGCACACTTACATAATCATAGAAGAAGAAATTTCTAAATTAAATAAATTGAACAAAAAATAATAACAACAATATTTTTATTTATACTTTACATTATATCTGTGTTATACAAACAATTCTCACAACAAAAATAAAATATAAAAATAATTAAATAAATAATTACAAAAGAAAATATGTATGCCTTCAACAAAGCTTTAAATTATTCAAATATTTGATGAGATCAAATGAATTTTTATGTAAAAAATTAGTCAATATGAAATATGTGATTGACAATATTTTGTTATTTCAGACAAAGCAACTCACAGTTCATCTTTGGCATTTTCCAATTGTCATCATTTTTTATTTTTCATGTTAGTGAGAGTTGAAAATCCTAACTCACATAAATATGATGTAGAAAATTGGAGTAAAATATTTATTGCTCTTTTAGATAACTTTAGATGTTCGTTTCTGACTGGAATCAAAAAAGTATCCAAATGAAATTCCGAATGTTTGATTTTTTAATGTTCGATCAGATGAAATGTAAATCAGTTCTTCCTCTTCTTCACGACAAAGATTTCAGTTTGATGTACCATTAATAAAAGGATTTCAAATCCAGTTGCATTTTCTGATTTAATAGATGGAAAATATGTTTTTATTTCCTTTTGAAACAAATCCAAATGGTTTTTCACCACTGGTGCAAGAAAATTTCTCATCTGTTCTGGAATCTTAGGAAACAGCTAAATTATTTTCATAAAGTTTATTCATCTACAAGCATAATTTTATTATCAAAAACAATTAACTTATCTGTTGATATTAAGATATTTTCATTTTGCCCTTGTAAACTAGTATTTATAATATTAAGAAGTGCAAATATATGTTCTATGTAAGCCAGTTTTGCACACCACAATTCATTGTTAAAACAATCATAAAATTTTTGTATTTTCATACAATTTTTTTGTTTTCCTGTGGTACTTATTTCATTTTTTTAAAATTTACAAAGTTTTGCTTGCATTTCAAATACACTGACTAAAATTTTTCCTTTAGAAAACCGATGAATATAATTATGTAGTAATAAACAATTCTAGTTAGATTCCATGCTGTCACATAATTCTTTGAAAATTCATGATTTTAAAGGTCTACTTTTAATATAGTTAACAATTTTTATTACATCATCTAGTCAATGCTTAATTCTGTCGGAAGAGTTTTGCCTACTAAAGCATCTTGATGAATAATGCAATATATAGAAATAAGATTTGAATTTTTTTGTTTCGCAAATGCCAAAAAATCTTTATCAGGTCCAATCATTGATGCAATACCATCTGTACAAATGCCTGTACAAAAATTTCATAATAACCTTGTCTTTTCGAAAAAGTTATCTACACAATTAAATATTTCCCTTGCTGTTATTCTACCTGGCAATTCTTGACAAAATAAAAATTGGTTCATGATTAAATCTCTGTTAATGAATCAAAAAAATTCCATTAATTGTGCTTTTCCATTGATATCTGTTGACTCATCTATTTGCAGAGCAAAAATTTGACTATCAAGTTTTTGCTGAACATTTTCTACTATATCAATTATTCTTCTACTTATAGTATTATTGGAAAGAGGAATTTTATTTATTTCAGCTTTGTATCTTTGTCAATCAACATTTTTCCAAGCGAATGAGGTTTCCCTTTTTGTGCAATAAGTTGCAGTACATCATAGGAGACAATTTGTGCTTTGTCAGACACTTTTATTCTGTTTTCAAATTTTTGTTTTTGTTTGGCACTATATGTCATTAATTAATCATTCAAAATACCTTTTGTCTTTAGATATTAAATTTTGATGAACTTTTTCCATATGGCATTTTAGCTTGCTAGAGACCATTGCACTGTTTGCTTTTTCATGTCCATATACAACACACAAAGGTAAGGGGAAATTATGTCCTCTGTCCACATAAAACCAAAATTTAAGTAATCTTCATTATATTTTCTTGTACAGTGGTACCTCAGGATACGAAATTAATCCATTCCGAAACTGAGATCGTATCATGAAAATGTCGTAAGGTGGATCATCTTTTCCCATACGATTACATGTAAAACCAAATAATTCGTTCCAACGCGAAAAACATACTCAAATTAAAGCCAAGTAATACATTAAAAAAAATAACTGTAGTAAGAAAAACAAATGAAAAATGCGAACTAATGTAACGTCGTATGGTGAGTTTTTGTTCGTATCGTGGAGCAAAAATATGTTCGAATTTCATGTCGTATCCTGAAAATTTCATATGCTGGGGCGTTCGTAACCTGAGGTACCACTGTACTAATTTTTGATCTTGGTTAAGATTCATTGGCACTGGTATTGTTCATATTATGACTATTTTCAATGGATATATTTGTATCTGCTGCAGAACTACTGTTGCTAACATCAATAGTTTTGTTTTTATTTTAAAATTTTCATATATCCATTTTCAGTTTTTCGTAATAAAAAAAGAAAAGAAATGGTTTTGTAGAATTTATAATTTTTATATAAATTTAAATTACCTTAATAAATTACCTAACCATAAATTATTTACTTTACAACACAAACACAATTTAATATGAAAATATTAACATGATATATATAAACATGTAATACACTGCACACCTACATGTACAACTCCATAAAACTAGAGAGACTAGAGACAAGATACCATATTTTGACTTTCTGAGATAATTCAGAAGCAATGCTCACTTATACAGTATTGCATCAGTCTAATTCACATCGTCTGCGAGCGACAGATGATTGGTCTTTATTCAAATACAGTAGTGTTGGCGCATGAATGCAGACACCCCTGTATTTGGATATGTCAGTTTCAGTTCATCATAAAAAGATCCTTCGTGTACTTTATTCTTATTAATGGCATTGTACATATATTCAGACAGTGATGCTAAAATAAAACTACATGATGTTTTTTAAGATTTTGCGGTACACTAATGTTCTGCATCATATCCTTTGGGCTAATTGATATAAGCAAGTCTAATTTGGTTAACATTATTCTAATTGGATTGTGTTTGCAACCTTTAGTATTTATGTTCTACCTCATAGAATCAATTTTACTGTTTATAAAAAAATTTGACAAATAGATAATTATAAATGATTACAAATGTACCGGTACTTGTATTTTTCTTTAATAACATTATAATGAAATGATGTTAAGTGAGGACTTGGTGTAATTTTCAACTCATACAGATTAATTAATAAGTTTTAATAGCTTCATAGATATATAGCTTGTATATAAGTTAAAATAAATATGCATTGGCATGAACATTAACCATCATAGAGATGAATATACTTACATGAGTATCAGCAAAATAAATTTGTTATTGAAAAATACTGATTGAAATATTTTTTTAGATTCGTTGTGCAAAAGATCAAGCTGTACGGTATCGAGTATGTTATTTAATAAACAAATTACTCATCAATCTTCCTGCTGAAGCAGATATTGATGATATCTTATATGAGAAACTTTGTCGAAGCATGCTAGAGCGACTTCAAGATAAAGGAAACAACGTCCGAACTCAAGCTGTACATGCTCTTTCACGCCTTCAAGATCCATCAAATAATTTATGTCCTGTTATAGAAGGTAATATTGATGATATTTTAAGAAATCAAATTAAAATTTTAATATATAATTAATTCTTGTGTACTAGCATATCTATTTCACTTGAAATGTGATCCTTGTGCTGAAGTAAGAAGAGCTGTTATACTTAATATTGGTGCATCATCTAAAACATTAATCCCAATAATTAATCGGACAAAAGATGTTAAGGATATAGTTCGTCGAGCTGCTTATATTTGTTTAGCTGAAAGAATACATATTAAATCTCTCTCCATTTCTCAGAGAATTCTTTTATTGCAGAGGGGATTAAATGACAGATCAGGTATTCTATGTTTTATTAAATGGACTTACTACAAGTATAATTATTGCAAACTTTTAAGATTATTTTTATTTATACATATTGATTTTGTAATAGTATAATTAATTTTTATGGTGATAAATGAAATGTAAAATTATATTTATTCAATCTTATTTACAATGTTATTAAATAGTTGTGGAAAATTTTGTTTATATTAAAAAGTTATACATTTTAGCTATAAATGCAGAATACATCAGAAATATTTGAAAATTATTCAATATTAAGATAATTGATTTTGACAAGTTTAGTATAAAAGTTTGTTTATACAGATAATTTGATTTCATGATTCCTTTGCAGAATGGTTTTATAACTTCAAAATAATTTTTAAATATTGAAAATGAAGAATAATAATGTTTTTGAGAGTTCAGTTTTTTTTATAAGTGCTGAAGAAATTATATTAATTCTTAAGAACATATTTAGAAATACTAGAGAATATTAAAATGATATTAATATATGAAAAATATAAGGAAATTAAAAAGTAATTTATTTATGTTAAATATCCATTGTGTTGTACAGTAGAGCCTCGATTATCCGACTCAATTGGGGACTGGGGTTGGTCGGATAATTGAAAAGTCGGATAACCGAAAAGTATGAAAAAATTCATTATTAGTGTAGTATATTATTATATCTCATGTAATTAGTATATTAGTATATCACTATTAACCTACTTCGCATTGAATTTTCATCGATGTTAAGCCTAACAAAAATTGTTTAAAATAATAATCGTCGCTATTGTATCATAAAATTAGAAAATTAAGCCTCATTTAAATACTGGCTCCCTTTCATGGTCGAATGAGTGTTGCCAGCTAAAACACGTAAAAATAATGTTAAAGTAGCCAAGACATAGCCAAATATTGTAATGCCACATCACTAGCGGACATTTGAATTTGCCGGTCGGTTAATCGGGGGTCGGATAATCGAGGCTCTACTGTATTTTGGAATTTAGCAAGATAAATATCTATTAGCAGAAAAAGTATTTGAAATTTTTTCATTTTGCAAAATATGATGATAATGCATTTAATTTTTGGAACTATGAAAAAGAAAATATGTCATAAAAGTTTTTTAAATGAATTAAATTTTTAAGTCATTAATTAATTTTTTCATGTATAAAGAATGGAAAAAGAGAAAATTGTTAAGATTTTGAAAATACTGAAAGTGAAAACTAATTTGATTTTTAACCATTTAAGTGATACTATAATAGAAAAAATACAAGTGATTATGATACTAAAGGCAATAGTGTTGATGATGATGATAATAGTACAAAAAATGGAAAATACAAATTTTTGAGAATAGCATTGATAATGATGATGATAAATAAATACTTCTGTAGAAGATGATGACTGGCATGATGTTAGAGATCAGTCATCAGTCACTAATATAAAAAATTTTGGAGTGTAATTTTAAATGTAGTATTGAATCCAAGTAACAATTAAAGGATATGCTGAGTCTAAATTTCAATATTTGGGTCCAAAACAATTCTTGAAGTTGCTGGTTACTCACTTTAAAGAAATTTTGGAGTATAAAAGATTTAGAAAAAAAAAAAAAAAGTTAAATTTTGCAAGTTTTATTGTTAACAATGATCCTGTAGTTATTCTATTTTTTAAATTTAAAACATTCTTTTAAAAAAATAGGAATTGCATAAAAATAGATGTGCAAAGTTAAAGATCATCTAAATAATAAATAAAACTCAAATTTCTTAAGTAATAAACTTAAAAACTGTTTTATTGGAGTTCACTGTTGTTCTGAGAATGCTATTAACCTTTTATATATTGGAGTGACTTGTAGATAGCATACAGCATAGATTTCAGAGTATACAAACAACCATTAGTCTCAATAGGAGAGAGTTTGCAAATCAGTTGTAGATAATGAATACATATTGTTGGGTGATGTAAAACTTTTTGAAAACTGTTCCTAAATCAAACTTTTATTGATCAACTCTATATTAAGATTCTTTTACTGTTTTATTGGTATTTTTATTTGGCTTTATGAATTTTGTTTTGTAAACTTTTGTATAAACATTTGTTATTATTTGATATTATAGGATAAATTTACGTACTATAGTATGTAAATTTAGTAATGAATTTAAGAAATAATAGAATGAAACTAATTACATTTATTTAAAACTTTATGAATGTTTATTAAAGAGATTGTACGTAGTACTGTAGAAAAAAAACTTCTTTTAAACTGGTTGGAATTGTGTGAAAATGATATAGTAAAGTTTCTACAATGTCTTGATGTACAAGAATCTGAAGAAATTAGTGAAAAAGCTTTAAATTCTATTTTTTCTATGAAAACACCAGAAATATTAACTGAACAATGCAACATTTTAAATAATGAGTAAGTATGCAATATTTCATTTATTATTATGATTGTTTTCTAATTTCCTATTTGTATAAAAAATTTAATTTATTTACTGAAAATTATTTTTTGTTTTAAAAAAACATTTATTTATAAATTTTGTACACTTAGATTTAATTCAAAATTTTATTATTGTTTAAAGTTTTTTTTTATATGACTACTATGCTAAAAAATTTTTTAAAATATAATTTTATTAGATTTCATATAGTGAATATATATAACATTAAAATTTTTTAAATTGTTCAGAATAATCTTGGAAAACAAAGTTTTGTTCATTCATAGAACTTTTTTAAAAAACATAGGCAATGTTTTTAAACTAATTTAAATTTGGGGCTGTCAGTTTTATTATTGCATCATGCTTAGTCTTCTCAAATCATATTTTTTTAATGTCAGTTTACTTTTGGCAAATAAGAAATAGTCTGTAGGATATAAATTGAGAATTTTGTGAATGGAAACATTCCAAAATTATTTTTAAGTAATTTAACTATAAATTAATATTACAAATAATATTCTACTACTATTAAAACAAAATTTGAAATATTTCAATATAAAAATTATAATTTATAATTTTTAACATAATTGTTTTTATTACAGAAACATGATTCCTAAGGAGGGAATTACATGTGAGAATGCATTTTATTGGTATTGCTTATGTAAATATCTCAGATCTCTAAAAACACCAACTGCAGATGAATGTTTAGATTCAATATTGCCAAATCTTGTGTCATTTTGTAGTTTTGTTGAAAGGTATTTTAGATGCATTTTTATAATTACTAGATGTTAAAAATAATTTTATAAAAAAATTGAATTTTTTCCCAGTTATATTCTTCAATCACAGAGTGACATTGAAAAACTATTGGATCATTGCTTCATCAGTTGTCAACTGATAAACTTAATTTCAGAATGTGAATTTTCAGATCAAGCTGGAAGGTAACTTTTTATTTTCTCAAAGAATTTCATGAAACTTGGTACCATATTTCAAACTCCAGAAATAAACTGTTAGGTTTATTAATTCAAAGTATTAGGAAAAAATCAATTTTGAATTAATTTAGTCTTGCACCAGTTCTACAAAGAACTTAATTTTGTCATATTTTTTAAAATTATATCTAACTGTTAACATTAAAATAACCTACATTTGAAATTTGAAATTTCAAAGAATTTTTAAAATCTTTTTATCCCTTGTAATTTCTAATTTTATCCATTTTAATTTGTAACTATAATTTCAAACAACTTTGGTTATATGCATTGTTGTAGTTTTTTGTATTTATTAGAACAATTCTATGATGATGTGCCAATGAATACCTTGCTCTTTCAAACTCCTGCTGTCTTGGAATGGTGGGAAATGTATCTAGTGTGACTAAAGGATCAGCATCGGATTGGCAATGCCTATGTCAGGACTGACACTGTTGTTGCTCAATGTGAGTGAAGAAGGTTTTGCTGCTTCGCAAGCGGTCTTAAGTGATTTGATTCAGATAGAGGCAGCGCGTTTGAAAGTGCACACTACAGCTTTATTACCAAAAATAATACTCATTTATTTATATATCATATTATACATAGGGTTGACTATCTATACATAGAGTTGATCTACTATAATATATATAGTAAGCAAATAGCATCTCAATTAAACTGTATCAGATTCCTAACCAAGAGAGCGAGTTTACACTTATGTGCACGATGATAAATACCTGTAGTTGTTATAAGCTTGATAAGCTGGTAGCACTTGCTAGGCTGGTTCCTTGATTATGTACACGGCCTATAGGTTCATCTGGATGTTAGATAGTTTGATAGTTGTATGTAAGATCCTTCAAGGGCAGGTAGGTAGACGGCAGGTTGGTCTAGGTGGTAATTGGTAGCAGTGATGGTTGATAGGGCAGTGGGGAGTAATCCAGGATGGGAATGAACACTAAATGTCAACCAACATAAGAAGAAAGATCGATGACAACAGTTCGTTTATCAGTCATCAATCTTTCTTCTTATATTTAGGGGTCTTCTCCCTTTTCTGTCAATGCCCTTTTTAGGCAATGTTGACAAGTTAGACCAATAACAATTTTTTGTGTTATGTTCTTGATACAGTCAGTCAGAAGATGGGTCATTTCTGGACAAGAAAGCAAGTCCATGGGAAAATGGCATCACTTCCTGCTCTTATGAGAGAAAAAATTTTAGCAGAAATTTTTTTGTAAATTAAGCAAATTTTTTTTTCATTTAGCTTGGGTTCTCACACTAGCACAACCTACCAGTCATTTGCAATGGAGTTACTTAAGAGTAATTTTGAGTGGATTTATTTTATTTATTTTTTACAACTTTAAATTGTGTTTAATTAATTTCCAGTTTTTAGAATTTGCAAATGATTTCTCAGACTCTGCATCATCTCAAATGTGAGTGTTTTGGTGAATTTTCTGTGGCAAGATGACTCAAATATGAGGTCAGAAGTGGTCACTCTGCAAAGTAGTTGCAGAAATGCATTTGAATTGTGTCAAGACTATTATAAAAACAGTTTATGAGTAACAATACAAAGACAGAGTTTAGTCCAGGCATTGGATTGGCAGTAGTATTTAGGTCTTTCACAAAACTTTGTCAGAAAGATATATCAATGAGTTCTGCATAGTAGCAAATTATTGCACAGGCCTTGGGTTTTACATAACCAGGAGTCCCAACTCAAAAAAATTAACAAAATTAATCAAACAGAAAAATTATTATTTTACTTCAGTACTTTAACTGACATGAAAGTTTTATTTATATGAAAATTGAAAATAATATAGTAATCACTGTATTAGAACTGTGCACATATACTGTATATTGCTTGCCAAGTGGTGAGTTAACAGACAGTAATATGTGCAGGTTGGTACCAGCACAGCTTAGAATGTGCTGTTGATGCCAACAGCAACATTTATGGTTGCTATAAACATGTATACTGATGATTCTACTAAGTCCTATGGTATCAACAAAATTGTAACAGTATCTTGTTTGATATTTAAACTAATTGATTGCTATTTTATTATTTCTTTGAGTTTTTTTATTATTCAATACTGTAATTTCTTTAACAAGAACTTTAGATATATAATATATTTTAAGGAGTGCTGTTGCAAAACAAAATATATGCCGAAATTTTCAAAATTATTGTATTTATTCAATTAAACTTTAATATTAAAAATGTCAGAAAGATATATCAATGAGTGGGATTAAAACCAGAGTTAAAACCGGTTGGGGTTTATGTAAATGATAACTTCTCTCCTAGAGTGAGAAATATTAGATTTAGGCTTCAGGATTTCGGTAGACAATCAAAACTTTCTGGAGTGCAAATGATAAAAATAGTTTATGATAAAATTATTATTGATGGACTGAAGTACTTTTATGATGTTGATTGTGACCAGCTTAAGCCTGTTTCATCCTAGCAACTACCGGATAGGGGTACTTCATTTCTGATTTGGAATTGTGCTGGTTTATTTAATAAACTTGAGTTTTTTTGGAAGTATTTATTGCAATATGATATTGTATTTCTTTCTGAAACTTGGTATGGTTATACTAATAGAAATTCAGACGTAACTGATTGTTTGCAAGGTTACAATCTCCATTTTGGAAAAGCTTTTAAGTTACATGTGAAAGGTTGTTACTGTGCAGGCTGGTATTAGCAAATAAGATTCTCTTTTCCCTGTGTTGTTGTTTATCAAGATGTTTTTCTAATACTTGTCAAATTTGGTGCCGAACTTGGTAATATTTTGGTATGTTTTGTTTATTTTAGGGAAAATGACTGGCAGTCTATTTTTGATACTTTAACTGGTTTAATATTAGATAATAGGAATGTATTAATTGCCAGTGATTTTAATGCTAGGATTGGATTGGAAAATATAATTTCTGATGCATTTTGCAATTCTTTTGGTATTGTTTGTCCTTTGCATAGGAATTCAAAAGACTTGGTGATTGATTCTTGTGGTAGAAAGTTGCTTCATTTATGTGATGATTTAAATATGATTATTGTTAATAGGAGATGTTCAGGTGATGAAGCGGGTGAATATTCTTTTATTTCTAATTGTGGTTGTTCTGTTATTGATTTAGTCATAGTTTCTCCGTTAGTTTGGAAAGATGTTCTCTCTCTTATGACGGATCAATTTTTGGATTCTGATCATAACCCTTTGATTTTACGACTTGCATGTGGTAATGAAAGATCGGTCTCTTTAGAAAAGAGGCAGAGGATTAATAGGTTATTTTGGGACGAATATAGAAAGGATGAATTAAGGATGGCTATGGAGGAAATATGTACAGCGAATAAGTTTGATTCAATGGTAGACTTGAGTAATTGTCTTTTCAGTTTGGCCTGTAAGTGTGGATTTAATATCAGGAGACATAAGAATTCTTTTTCATGGTTCAATTTGAGCTGTAGGATGTTAAATAGTGCTAGGAATAGAGCCTGGAGATGTTTTAGGAAGAGTAATGATTCTAATGATCATTTGCATTTTGTTATGTTACGAAGTTTGGTGAAGTGGTTGTGCATTGTGAAAAAAAATTATTTGCTGGTAAAATTCAGAATTGTTTTAGGAAAGATAACAGACTTTTTTGGAACTATTTTCGACATGTTAAGCAGGCTAAGTCTTGTAATTTCAGCTTTATTCCTATTGATGATTGGTTTCATCATTTTTTCAATTTATTTGGTTCCTTGGACCCTTATTTTGTGGATATTTCGATTTTTAATTATTGTAGAAATTGGTATGATGAACTTTTGGACCATGAATTTTCTATAAGTGAGCTTAAGTTTGCTCTGAGGAGGTATAAACCAAATAAAGCCCCAGGTTCTGACAGGATCCCAATGGAATTCTGGAATTTTGAGACATTGAGACCAAATCTTTTGAGTCTTTTCTCAAAGATTTTTGATACTGGGAGAATACCGGAGTCTTGGAAGACGAGTATTTTAATTCCGATTTTTAAGAATGGTAGGAAGGATGTTCCTGGTAATTATAGAGGCATCTGGCTATCATCATATGTTTCTAAATTGTTTTGTAGTATTTTGTATAAAAGACTGACTCGATGGTTAGAAGTTAAAAATATATTGCATGAAAATCACAAAGGATTTTGGGCTAATTATTCTACATTGGATAATATTTTTGTTTTGTACACAGTTATTCAGAAAACTTTTTTACAGAAACACAGGAAAGTGTATGCATTTTTTGTTGATTTATCTTCTGCCTTTGATAGAGTTTGTAGGAATTTGCTGTGGTTAAAGATGTTGCGTTATGGTTTTAGTTATAAATTTGTGTCTTTACTCGTTGCTTTGTATGAAAACTCCTCGCTTATGGTAAGAGTTGGAGGTAACTGTTTGCCGTTAATGTTCTCTAAGACTGGTGTTAGCAGGGCTGTATTTTGAGCTCAATTTTGTTTAGTATTTTTTTGAACAATCTCTTTGGCATTATTAATTCTTCTGAGGATGGTATAGAAATAAGTGGTTTTCAGATTAAAATATTGGCTTATGCAGATGATATTGTAATTTTATCTGATTCTGTGGTTGGACTTCAAAGATTGATTGATAAATTGGCAGTTTATTTAGATGAAAATGGTTTGAAATTGAATCTGAATAAGTCTAAGATTGTTGTTTTTTCGAAGAGGAGGTAAGAGTGCGAGGGCTGATAAATGGTGGTTTAAGGGTTCTCCAATTCAAGTTGTCTCTAATTATAAATATTTGGGTGTTACATTTTCGTCTAATGGTTTATTCCGTATGCATTACATTAATAAGAGAACTCATACTAGATTATTGATGAATAAAATTATTCAGTTAGGGAGGTCTGCTAAATTACATAATCTGACTGATTATTTACGTTTATTGAAAACTGTGGTGTTGCCCTCTTTGTTATATGCTTCAGAGATTTGGGGTTTTAACTTGTCCAATGGCGATGGTATACAGACTGAATTCATTAAAAACTTATTTTATTTATCACGTTGTACACCAGGGTATTTAATTATGATGGAATGTGCCTTGACTCCTATAAAATTTATAATATTTAGTAGGATAAGAAATTGGATTACTAGAATTTTTAATCTTGATGACTATCGTCTGAGTAAGGTTTGCTTGAAATTTATACTTGGTAAAAAGTCTATTGACTGGACACGTTATTTTATTGATACTTGTAATAATCATGGTATTAATCTTATTAATGATGATTTGAATTTAATGGACTGGTCTCTTCTCCTTGTTAACATTTTTGATAATTTTTTATATAATATTAATGAAAAAATAAATAATAGCGTATATAATTGTTGGTATAAGGATTTAAATGTTACTTTTTTTGATAATTCTTTATATAATCAAGACGTTTCCCTTAATATTTTGTCTTTATTTATACAGGCTAGGTGTAATTCACTAAATTTTTTAAATAATTATTCGAGAGAATCATGTGACTTTTGTGTTGAGAAAGAAATTGTGGATGCTTGGCATATTTTGGCTAAATGTAAGCGTCTTAAAGTGTTACGAGCAGAAATTTTCGGTTGTGAAGTTCTTACCAGGTCTTTATTTTTTAAAATTATATCGGTACCATGTTATCAATTTAAAGTGTTCTGTTTTCTAAGAAAATCTGTTGATCTTTTGTTTTAGGGGGCGTGATTTCTCTGCTATAAATTTAGCCTTGTTGCTGGTGTTGTTTGGGAGCATCTGTCACTGCTGTATCTTCGTTATTAACTTATTTCTTTCTTATAGGTAAGCAATTTGCTTATTTTTGGTTTTTATTTTATTTATTAGTTTTTTGTATTTTATTGACAGATGCTCCCAAACTTTAACTAATTATTATATTTGATTTTTT